GCCTAGCGGCGAGCGGCGGACGCGCAAATATGGTGACAGGTTGTTTGATTGGTTCGGTATGGGTTCGGTGCTGTGTGCGTCTCGAACGTTCTTTGAAGTTATTTGAGCTTCCACGGGTGACACGGGAGGTGTTGCGAAATCACCATCTCAACTAGCAAAAGGCGACTCTTCACGAACAACGACGACGGTGCCGAGAAGCGGCGGTATGTGACTCCGAGCGAGCTTAATTTGGTGGTTCGAGTACAAGGGGGAGGGGGGGGGGGATCTGTTTGCAGGAACGTTATCGCCACAGGTGTTAACAGGAGGGGTGTAGAAAAGATGCGGAGACGGTGCACTTTGTACAGGAGAGACATTTGGCGTCGTCAGGTTTGTCGAGCCAGTCATTCGACGCCACCGGGACAAGAAGAAACGTGTTGTTTATTTCAGTCCTCTGCTGGGTTAGTATTGTGGACAGCGTTGGTAGGTATTTACCCTCACGCATGATGTTTTTATGATGCTCGGGGATAACCTTCTGTCACTGCTCATTTCAATGTCAGGGTCAGAACACCTGATAGTTATTGCTTTTGGTGTGACTTCCTTGGCAAAGAGTCAATAAAGCATCTCCTTGTACATTCGAACAAAAGCGCCAAATCTGTCATGAAAACTAGTCTCGTTTTATACAAGTGATTTGCGCCCTTTCTGTTTAATCTGGGCCTAGACCAGAATGCTTTCGTAGCGACGTTCTGGGGTCCGTATACGTTTTGAGGTATAGTTTCTTCTGGACTGACCCGCCGTGCGCCTCCAATTGTCTCCCCAAAGTTGGAGAGGATGCATACCAGTTTTTAAATTAATGTTTATACAGTTTACACAATTATTCATTGGAACGATTTCGATATATTTTCTTTAAACTTCAGGTTGATTGGGTGGCAACAGAAAGCAAACACGGCGTTGCTAGTGTTGTGAACATGCATTTTGCGGTAATATTTTCTTCGAAATTATTGCTTTAATAGTAATATAATTGTGGCACAAGAACGAAGGCGCCGGATTTTTTTGTTTGTTTGTTTGTTTTATTGTTAATCTGAACACTTAAATTTGTGTTTCGGGCATAAATAGTGCGTTTTAAAGCGAAGTACTGCCAGTCGCTCTACTTTCGGTGCCAATGGTGATCCCGCCTTCTGGACGGTCGCCTTCTTGAGCACGTTCCACGCAATAGCGTATCGCGGCAGCTACGGCGGACGCTCATTCGGTTCGAGTTCTAAAGGCTACAAAACGTGCGCGTGAACAGGCAACATCTCTGCGCCCCCCCCCCCCTCTCCCCCCCTCTCCCCCCGCAGCAGAGTAGAGCGGAACAAGCTAACGACTTGACGGTATAATTAAAGCCGGGGCAAATCGTCGAGCGCTAAACTGGTGCGCCTAAACCAGGTGGATGAGACAGGCGAGGCTGAAACACCGACCCCTTTTCCTCTACTCCGATGGGGCTGGCGTTCTGTCGAGCAAATTCAAAGCATCTATCATACTTAACAATTCAATTTGCATAACAATGCGGCCGGCGCCTTTGAAGCCTCGCGAATAATTAAGCGGGGACAGAGCGAAGGCCGTCACGAGGTTTGGGAGACTGAATTCGATTAAAGGTTTAAGGCAGAGGGCTCTCCCGCGGCGGCCATGTTGGGTATGATTTTTAAGCAACGAGGAGCCGCATGGTCGCATGGAGAATATTGGACGAAGTAATAGTAAAGAAATGATATTGCTTCGCATGTTTTTGCCGTTCAAGCACCTGATCGCATCAGTCTTCGCCCCAAATGCGTTTCCGCACTCACTGTATTTACTGTTGTTTTTAATCCTTTTTTTTAGCGAGTTTGCGAAGATAACAGCTCTCGGCAGGATATCACGTGACGGTGACAATGTGCTTCATGCGGCTGTACAGAAAAAAAGAGCACACGACCAGCCGTTCTATACTTTAAAGTGAGTATAACCCAAAAACGTCTTGGACAGCACCCCGAAACGGTAAGGAAAATCGTGTGCACAAAACTAAAGGTTCTAAAGAATAAGATACAAAATTACTCTACTGAAAGTACAAGCAATATCTCGATTAAAGGCATGAAAAATCCCTGGATTAGGGAAAAGCTCTTCTTTTCTCCCTACACGACGTCCAAAATCTATGGGTTTATGAAAAATTCCTCGGGTTGATATCGGAGCTAGACAAAAAAACAAAAAAAAACAATAGTAAAACAGAATTAAATGGGGAACAGCTAACATGTCCGTTTTAAATTAATTAAATGAGACGGAGATAGACAGCCACATCTTTCCCGTGTCTAACACCCCCATGCATCTTCGTTAGTAGCATAGCTACTTGGACTACGCGTCCTCGGTTCGATTTAACAAGCAACCCCGCTGTCTGTAGAGATGTTAATGTCTCGCCTGCAGCTCCGATAGGTTTGGAAACAACAGGCAAACAACAAAAACAATGAGCATGATAAAGACAAGACATCGACGCATGCAAAAAAGAAATTAAAAGAAATCAGTGAAGCCTTTTTTCAACGAGGCACTGCATGCCGCTTGATTTAACTTTAGAACCCATTCGACATCAACCAGCCGTGCAGCACACCCGTCATCAACTCAAAATAAACCAATCGAGCAATCGATGGATCGATCAGCCGACAGATATTACGATCATTTCAGCTAACCTGAATGGCAGGTCCGAAAGTTGCCAAAATACATGACGTAGTGCGAGCAAGCTGGGCTGTAATTTCCCATTTTCACCCCACAATGAATCCCGTATGGAAAACAAAATAAGGAAAGATCGAGAAGGCTGGTATTGTATGTGCTTACGGCCTAAAACTTGTCTGTGCTCTCAACTTCCTGTAGAAAAGTCGGAAAATCAATCACTGCTATACATGCGGAGGAAACCCGGCGAACGGCGAGACCGGGAAGGCACGTTCCCACCAAAATCATCGAACCAGCGCTGTGACACTAGAGCCGGAGTCACCACTCTGCGTACACATCATACAAAATGACAAGTCTGCATACAGATTCGAAAGCGCGAGTTCCCGCGAGATCCGTGCTTCGAATGCCGCACGGCAGTGAGTTCAAGGAGAAAACTTACACGCGGCATTTGGACCACGGATATTGCGCTGACTCGTGTTTGCAGAGTGTCCTTTGTATGATGTATAAGCAGTATGGCCGTCCCCCTGAAAAAAAGTAGCTGAAACGTCCGGTTACCCCAGAAGCGACAGCATTAGGATACCTGTCCTCTGATCTGACCGCACCGGCCCTATTCATCCTACGCTGCATGGAATGAGGGTATACATTCAGTGGGGAAGAGATATCCTTTTTCCCAAACTCCGGCAAGACTATAAAGAAGTTCAAAATTCAATCAATACCAGAAGAGCCCGCGGAGGAAATACGTATAGACGCTGAAATCGCCTCGGAGGAAGAACGAAAAATTCCCACACACAACAACAAGAAACAAACCCCCCAAAAAATGGCGAAACACAATCTCGCCAAGACGCGTCTACCGTTTCGGCTCTGTGGGCTTACTTCTTTTGCCATTTCCTCTCTGCATTGCGTCTGTTTCCCGGCATTTCGAGTCACTTAGGGCGATCGATAGAAGATTGTCGGTCGCTTTCGATTCGTGTACAAGGCGCCAGCAGCAGCCTAGCAGCGCTGGGACTGACTAACTGTCGTGGCGGCGCCCCGCGCAGGAAAAAAAAGCACGAAAACGAGAAAAAAAACAAAAAAGAGAGACGAGAAATGAAATCGATAGCGCGCCGAAATGCGGAAGGGGTGGAGTTTTCACTCCACGTAGACGTGGGAACCGAGTACATCGGGTCTTTGGAGGCACACAGCTGTCGCCCACGTCGCGATGTTCAACCGTCAGACGTGAGATATCCTTTTTTTGCAGTGTTCTGGTTTCTGGGTATACTGTACACATCCGGGGCGAACGGTGGTGCACGTTTGAAACCCCCCCCCCCCCTTCCCCCCCCCCCCCCCCAAAAAAAAAAAAAAACGACGGGAGGGCAAAACAAGCGGTGAACATGTGGCCAAAGTTGTTCGGCCGTCTCGTGTCGGGTTGGGTATCGATAGGTTCTCGGCGTCCATGCATATATAATATGATGCTTCGCTTGGAGGGCAGAAAGATCAGGTTCAAAATTAAAATTACAAAACTAAAATCTTGGGAGAACAAGAAACAAACAAAAACCCATTTCTGATGTTTCAGCAACCATGAAAATATTGTGTTGTCCAACACAAACTTTCCAATTCCCACCACAAAAAAAAAAAAAAAAAAAAAAAAACTTTAGCAATGTTATTTGCTGCTACAGCTCAGAAAATTATTTTGTTCAGGTATGATAAAAGAGAACACGTTACTAATATATAAAAAAACGCACTAACTACACCGAGTTTCGCTCTGTTCTGTTGCTGTTGTTGTTATTTTTGTTGTTTTCCTAAAAACAAAACAGTGATTTGCGCAGTGTCTTTTCGACTGGGTACCATTCGCAGGAATACAACGACGTCCGCAAGAACGACTTCCTTCGTATGGCAGAGTTTCTGGAAGTGGCGAGCAACAAGAAACCTTTTTATTTTTTGCCTTAATTAAAAAAGGGAGGGGGGGGGGGGCGGCACGTTACTGTGTTTGTTCACGCAGCGACCGTATCGCTTTCGCATTCCCAAGAGCGTCGTTAGATTTCGCACATTTTCAACTTCCTATATAACGCGCTACGCAAAAAAAAAAAAAAAAAAAAAATACATTGAGACTTTGCCCCTTTTCCTACGCATGGAAAAAAGCCTAAAGTATAGGATAGAGAGCGCGAAGCGCCAAGCGTAAAATATTCTCACACATTACGTTTCTTCACACATACGCACACACAAAAGAAAATGTTAAGTGGAAGTTATATCTTCTCTGCTACTGAGCTTAAAAAAGGAAAAGAAAACCATATCAAAATTTCCGCAAGAGAGAAAGAAAGAAGGGGAGAGAACGGCGGACAGAGCCTGAATCAACGGAAGTTCGTTCTCGAATAAAGACAATGGCGGAACCCAACAAAGAGAAAACGAAACCAACTCAAGAAGAGAGGGACGACGACGGAGAGGCGAGAAGGGCGTCCAAGTATGCGTGCGTTGCTCTTCTTCTTCTGAATGTAAATGGAATGCAAAATGCATTACTCGCGCCTTCCTGGACTCCGCACACGCCGTGCTCGCACCAGGGCACCCCGCGAACCGGAGAATTCGGCCGCTCCCTTCCCCGCACTCGGCGAGGTGCTGCGAACGATTCCGGCAGACGAGAACTGGAGAAGAGCTAACGAGTCTTTCTCTCCTGCGGGGCAGCCCAAGAAATGGGAGAAGCGCCGATGCTATACGCGTAATCGTGCGTGCGTCCCTTCTACGCATGCGTGGACAGCAGTGCCTAGAGCGCCCGAAGTTTTCTTTTTCGCTTTACGTTTTTCTTTTAATTTGTTAACGAAGTAACAATTTTCATTGTCTTTGTGGAGAGTAACAAGGTGCTTTTTTAGCGCGCTGTCCCTTGTCAAAGCAAGCTTTCAGACACACATCAACTACCCAGGGCGCCAGTCTTGAGTGCACGTTGCTGCGGAAGCGTTCGAACTGCCTCTTCGAGGGTTCGAACGCGAACGCCAAACTGATAACGTAAGAAGCACGGGATAAATCAATCAAAAATATAAAAAGGGCAAAGAAATTGATATAGCCCGTACAGAACGCACGTAATGGCACACGATGACGCAATCCTGGTTACGTCCATTCCCAAAGAGTTATCTAAACAGTTCTGGTCGAACACAGCCAGATAGTTCTGCGCGGTGTGAGCATCGATGACGAAGTCGCGAACAGCGTCCACTGCTCTTTTCTGGAGTGCCAGGGGTGTGTAGCCTCTAGTCTGCTTGCGTGGGTGTTCCGGCGACCATGAGGGCTCAATAAACGAACACCTGCGCGATGAATTGGGGAGTCCCTTTCTATCATGCTCGCTTCGAGCGTCACAAACGTCCCGCGACGGGAAATGCGCGATCCATCAACCGCTCTCGCAAATGCAAATCCACCGGCAAAACGCGCGCGAGCAGTCGACGCCCGCTTACCCGACGTCTCGGTAAACGGAATTTCCGGTTAATCGGACGGCTTGGATAGAGTCACTATATTGCTCCGCCCGACGGAGCCAATTAAGCAGGATGCTTCAGAGTAACGTCCTCCTGTGCCATCGGATTCAATTGGATTGGATTGTGCCGCTAAACCCCCTTAGGCCGCGGGCGATCAGAGTGTAAACGTTTCGATGTAGCCAAAAGAAGAAAAACAAGATCTTGTTGCGTGGGATCAGTGTTGGGAAATGCAACGAGCTTTCACCAGTGTGTCTAACCAAAAAAAAAAAAAAAAAAAATGCAGCAAGCGCTTGTTATTTTTTGGCATGCAAACACAGTTTGCCACATAGCAATAAATCTTTATCACCCGAGTTAATGCATGGAATGTATACCTAAAACTGAAAAAAGAAGTAACGTCTCGCAACCTGTTTCGTCGCTTACAAAAAGCTTGTGCGTAGAAGAGAACATTGTAGAGTCATCACGTGGCGTGGCACCGTGGTCACGTCAGGTGACCACAGATCGCTAAAAGTGTCGCGACGCAAGCCCGCCATAGGTGGCGCCACTGTACTCTTTCGTTATACGTTACAAGAGATTGGAGGAGGTTTCGAGGCATGCAATCCTAACAGTGAACGGGCCTCAACTGTCGGTGCCCTTATGGTTCTATGCGAGAAAAAAGCGCCAGGCATGTTATGTAATGGAAAGGGATCTCGATCCTATGAGGGTAAAAACTGAGGGAGAGGAGGAAACGAGGAAACAACCGGGGGGAGGGGGGAGAGAGAGGTGACACCCAAGCGTCGTCTAAGGTATGAAGTTCGCGCTGGTGACTGGAAAGCTGAAACATAGCCTTCTATAAACTGACATAGCCTGGCAGATTGCCACGGGAAGCGGCCTCCGAAATGGAAAAGGTGGAGCGGCAGACAACGGATGAGAGGAAAGCCAGCTGATTGGCGCCCCGCTGCGGCGAGACGCCGAAATACACTTCTCCCGAGCGAAAAAGTCTGTTTCGGGTCGTCGCCCTCGCAAAATATGTGCGCTGACGTACAGGTTCCCCGAGAAATGGCTCTTTGATGCTCTGTGCTGATCCTCGCACTTAACATCCGCGACCGGGAACTCTATGGCTCCGTCGTCGAGCTGTCAGGCTTTGTGAGTATTCGCGACTCCAACTAACTATAGGTGGCGCCACTCTTTTTCCAAGATGGCGGGTTTAGTGAGGGTCAGAGATGCGTGCCACTGTTGAGCCTGTCTAGTGTGCTGGCTTCACCGAGCGACATAAATTATTTCTGGTAATACGAGGGAGCTAATGTTTTATGAGCGCAGGTCACCTTTTTAACCTGAAAACAAGAAAGGTGTTTAGCGTATTATTTACGGAAGGATGCGCCTTTTAATTCTGGAGCGAAACCGAAACTTACCTCTATTTTGGATTTAATTTCTTGATATAGGTCTTAATTTCAGATTCTATCATGACGCAAGATGTGTCTGACATCGTAATTATTTACTTAGAAAAGTAGTTCGCAGAAAATTTATTTTGTGTCATACTGGTCGATTCAGGTTGATATTTGTAGTTGTTGAAAAAATCAGTGCTGATATCTGTGCGTTCTCGCTCCCTTTTTCTCGCTCAGATAATTGTCATGGGAAATAATGAGAATTATCCCAGCACAAGAAAAAGAGAATAATTACAATTTTACAATATGTCCACGAAACACATAAACTAATAAACGCTGCTCTCACTGCAACAACCCAAAGACGGAATCCGAGTCAGACAGCTGAAGTGTGTGTGTGTTTTTATAGCACCGCGTGACGCGTAGGACTTCATATTACATCCAGTGTTTGACTGTTTGTCTATCTTGATAACGATGTCAGACGACATCGTTATCAAGATAGGATGCACGAGCACGCAGAAGCTCGAAGCCCTGGGACTCCACAATAGCCTGGAAGAGATCGCCGAGGCACAGCAGACGGCGCAGCTCACCAGACTGTCGGGAACCAGGACCGGCAGATCTATCCTCAAACAACTAGGCATCGGAGCCAAGGAAGACGACCACCGGATGCAGGAGCAGATACCGCGGGAGCTGGGCAAGCACATCGTCGTGAGCCCAATCCCGCGGAACATGACTCCCACATTCCATCAAGAAAGAAGAGAGGCGAGAGCCAAGGCGCTGATCGCGCTACACGCCGGCGATGAGGCAGCCGTGTTCGTGGACGCGGCCAGTTACAAGAACATCGGCGACGCCTTCAGCGTCAGCGTGATCGGAGCCAAAACGGGTGAGATCAGGATCCAGCGTGCGGACCACTGTGCCCAGCCAGGCAGAAGAAGTGGCGGTAGCCCTCGCCATCGCGGACCCCAGAACGAAGACGGTGTTGTGCGACTCGCGAACGGCAGTGCGCAACTTTGCGAAACAGCGAGTGTGCAGTGCGGCAGCGCGCATCCTGCGAAAGGCCGAAGTCAACGGAGTCATCACCAGTGCGGTGATAAAGTGGTTTCCCGCCCACGCGGGCGCGGAAGTGGCGGGCTCGCTGGGGCTCACCAACCACAACGAGACGGCCAACTCCGTGGCGCGTGGACTCGCCGGCCGCGCCCCGGTAACGGCCGCCGCCGACGTGGTGGATCGCCCCGAGAAGGACACCATGGACGCTTACAACGAGGTAACCCTGTGGTACCGGTTAGCCAGAAGAACGATGGCCCTGCCCCACCCCCGTCTGACGCGGGAGGAGGCGGTGGTATTCCGCCAGTTACAGACTAACTCCGTGATAACCCCAGTGTTAGCAAAGCACCTGTGGCCGGAGGTATACGTAACAGACTTATGCAGACTGTGCGGGAAGGAAAGGGCCACGTTGGCCCACATCCTGGAAGACTGCGAATGCGCGAACGCGGACAACAGTGCAGACGTTCTCCCGCCCCTCATGGAGGAGGCGAAGAGATCCGAAGACTACGACGTCCAACACACGGCCGTCCAGCAGATCCTAGCGGCACTCGAGAAGCAGCGACCGGACGGGATGGAAGCAGAAAGGGTTAACCCGAGTACGCTGAAGCCCGCCGCGAGCGGCTCTCCCCGCTACGAAGACGTCCGGCCACGTCGCCCCAAGAACCCACCTGAGAGGGTGGGATGATAGGGGTTACTGCAGGAGACCCATTAAAGTTGCTCTCTCTCTCTCTCTCTCTCTCATATGCTAAAAACAAAACAGAATTTTATCTTTCTGGAAGTTAAATAGCGTATTGTTAAATAGCGTATTCTCGTGATCTTGGCGTTAATTAAAGGTATACATTGCCGCGATTTGTATTAATAATAATAATAATATTAAAATTCACATATTTGAATTAGTAATTCTGAAAGCTCTAATCTAATTTGTTGCTTATCATCTAATTTTAAACGCGCGAAGAAATATGACAATGAAAACTGTGCTAATTATCATCACTGCTTCCAATTGCCGCATTTTAATTACCGATAAAATAAAAATAGTCTAAAATCAATGAAAACATTCTAGCTAATGTGAGAAATCCATGTAAAATTACATTAATTATGGGTAAAGTATATTGTGCTATCAAAGTCGTGACTTCTGACAATCGGCGAAACGTCCAAAGTAGCCGCCACTATACTACCAGACCAAATGCCCAAAAGTAAAAAAAAAAAAAAAAAGAAAACAACTTTTTTTTTTAATCACTAGTTTTTATATAACTTTTATTTACTTTTGTATTTGCTTGCCGCCGTTTTGCCAATCTCAGCCTTTCCAGTTTGAAGGAACGCCTACGTTTCGTTGGCGTTGGAAGCCGGTGAAACAATAGTGCGTTTTAATATTGCGTATACGAGCGAACTCAAGCCCTATGTGTTTGCGTTAGTTTTGCGTGTTCCACACTGCGCGTGCGCAGAACCCGAAATTGCGGTCTTGAATGGCGCATGGTGATGAGGCGCAAAACGTGGGGCTCGCTACTCTAACGCAAACGCACACCGCTTGCGTTTGCTTCTATGCGCAATACTAAAACTCTCCAGTAGGGTACAATCCCATACCGGCTGCAGCACTACGTCGGGACAGTGAAGAGTGTTGTTTGCATTCGGAAACGACATTTCGCGAGCCATGATCGCGAGCAGTTCCGCCATGCCCGCTGAGCAGGAGAATCGGGGGACCCTCACTAGACCACTTCCCGTTTCCGCCGCGGGAGGGCGAGCGTCGAGCTGGAGACGCGAATAGAGGAGGCTATGACTGAAGTTCAACCGTGCCGTCCTCACCATGTCAGTGACTATAACAGCTTTAGACGTCGTTTCTCGATGAACAAGAGCTCTACAAGCACAAAGAAAAACAACGCTAATTCATAATACCAATCGTTTGTTTTTGTTGGAAACTTTCCCTGCTTAATCGTTGTACGCTTCCGAAACTATATACGTGCTCAATTACGTTACTGACTGCCCAGTTCATCCACTGACAACAGGCAAACGCAATTAAAGCGTGCGAGTGCAACCCACAACGAAACCTGCTGTTGGTGACCAAGCAGCGGAAAGCTTTCAGCACGACGGTCCGGATAAAAACTGCGAGTGTGCTTGTAAATGGAGTGGGAAAAGAGCGTCGTCGCGAATAATATGCGGGCCCTCGAAACCCGGACCGCCGTGCTTGAAGCTTGGCTCCACAAATGTGCTCGTCGAGACGACGGCGCCTTAATCGCCCGGCTAAAGGGATTAGGAATGACGAAAGTTTTGGCGGCGCCTGGCCGAGGCGTCATCGACGGATAAACGCCTACTGCGTTGTTAACTTCTTGTTGTTGTTTTTTTCTTTTTTTGGCGCCACGTGTAAATGTTTGCGTCAGAGTGGTTCGGAAGAAAAATCTAAAGTATCATTTCTCTGTCTTTTTTTTAGACAGTTCTTTGTGCTGGACAATCTGCAGTGTTGTACGGAACGGTGTTCTAACGGTTCCGTATAACGCATTCCTTTTAGGAGGAGCGGAGGAACGCCTCCGCTCCATCTTGCATTGTGAAACTGGTACGGGAACTGGTTACATTTTGGAGGGTGCGGTACAAAAAGAAGCGTTTCTTTCTTTCTTCTTTAACTTCATATATAAGCATTTTTACCGAAATTATTTTTATGGAGTATTTATAATAACATAATAATATTATTATTATCATTATAAATCACTAAGGCAGGGTTGAATTTTAGATAATTTAAATAAAAAGTATTGTTATTAATTATTAAGGCAGGGTGGAATTTTAAATTTAAAAAAAAGGAGGAGTGGGGCGGATAAAGGGGTCAAACCAGTGCCTTCCGTTCCGCGTAACAAAGCTGCAATGCCGAATTTTCGGCGTCACCCAAAGTAGGCCATTGCAGGGCAGCGATTGGACGGGCCGCGCCAGTGTTCGGCTGGGACTCGTGTCCAATCAGCGAAGACCCAAGTGCCAGCCGAATACTGACGCAGCCCTCGTGCCCAATCGGTGGCCTGCAACGGGCTTCTTGAGCTGACGCCGAATATTCGGCACTAAGGCTATCTCATTAAGCACTAAGGCTATTAGGAGGCGTTGCGTGTAGAACGGTTTGGTGACCTGTAGAACGACGACAGGAAAAAAAAAAAAACATCGATGAATTACTTTATACAGTTATTCCATTAATGAAGCGTTTCCTTTCGTTTAAAGCGGCACATCATCTTTTCCGACGGGCACCTTCGAATACATGCGGTATTCACCAATGCAATTCACTTGTTTCCCCCTCGCTAATCCGCGGATGGTAAGGGTGCGTTAACGTTTTGTTCGAACCATCAATAACATGCGGCGCGCGTCCACCTCGTGCGAATGCCCGTATATGTAAAGAAAAGGAAAGCGTCAGAAATCTTTAGAACAACAAAAAAGGAGAAATGAAAGCAACAACCAACGAGTAAAGATGCGGGGCAAGAGAAATCTCGCGGAGTTTCGATCTTTCCAACACTCTGCGCCCATTTCTGACAGCTGCTTCCTCCACGCTCCGGCAACGGCTACCGAAAGTTGGCCACGAACAGGGAGAGGGAGATGCCTCCGCAGCCAGCAGTGACGAAGACGGAAGCATCCATCGTTTCCACGGCACCACGCGGTACTCGTCTCGGGCGAAGTTCGGACACCCGATGGTCCTGGCTCCGACTTGGCCCAAACCCGCTCATCTCGGGGTCTGGGTGGATCTAGGCTTGCTCGGGCACCGATTAGCTCCACGAAAATGGACGGGGGCACTCCTCTGCTGCAAACTAATAGAGAATCGATGAGTCGAAACGTCCGGGAGCGCTCGAACGGCACGAGTTGCAACAGCAGCAGTGGGCGCTCCGATCGCGTCCGCTGTCGGAGCGTCCACCGGCTGTTCCGGAGTGCACTCTCATGCTAGCGCTCGAGTCCTGCTCCACGATGCCCTGGGAACATCAGTGCCGTGTTCCAATGGCAGTGCGGATCCAGTGGCAAAAGGCGTCCATTCCTTGTGCCACTGAGACTGGGTTGTTATTGGAGCTTGGCTTGAACCGAATAATGGAAGATCGACTCTTGCTGTTGCAACTTCCGACTGCCGTATCCTGTTTACCCCGCGAGAGCGAATGTTATCTTCTTTAATAGTTTTTCATCATCCTCAATTAAGATGTTCATGATTTTGATTAAGTTGAACAACTTAGGGTGATGGCGGAGCTCTAGCAATATATGCGGATTTTCACTTCTTTCAATGTTTTTATGCATATTGCGTTAGAATATTGAATGTGGTTATTTTCGTCTGTGCTGTGGTGTACCACTGAAAAGGTACGCTGCGGTTGGTGAGCATCATCGATAAAACAATAAACAGACAAACAAACTCCGCGCGGTAACTGCACTTGGCTTCTACATAAGTAACAGCGCACACAATGGCTACACAATGGCTATAGACGCTGACAGTTTAAAAAACGTAGATCGTGAGTTAGTATGTTCACATTACTTTCCTCGTTCACTCACTATTTCCCTAATACTTGCGGAATGGCTCGCAGCGGCTCATCTCTAAATCCTCAACATTCACGAGCTCACGATGAGCCATTCAAGATCGCGAGCTTGCACAGGAGAAGACAAGAAACGTGTTTAGAAGCTAGCAACAATTCACCTAAAATCACGACTTAATATATTATTTTTATTATTATTAAATATGACTTTATCGAAAAGGTTCTCCCTAATCCCTCGTCTACTTAGACGTCCGCAATAACGTAATAATTCTCCCTCAAATATTTCAGACCCCCCCTCTCCCCCAGGCCCTTTTTTTTTCGAGTCCCCCGATTATTTTCTAACTCTCGGAGCCTGAGTCAACCTCCCTTCCTCGCGTGACAGCAGACGGCTTGCCAACGAAAGACGGATGAGGCGCCCGTGCCCGGACCCTCCCCGAGAGATCGAACAACGCCGAGGGTGCTGTATACATGAAGTGCACCGCGCATCGCCGAGCAAATAATCCAGCCCCAGGTGCCAGAGGAGAGACGGAGGAGCACCTGCCCCGCCGCCGGTCCTCGAGGCAAAAGGTAGGAGCGGCTGCGCGCCGTCCTCCTTCCATTGATCCCTCGACTTCCCCAGACCGGCTTCGGAGCCCCGTCGACGTACGTAAGAGGAGCATCGATCGCAGGGCCCCAGAAGGGCGCCGCAAGCCCCGAGGGTGCACGCCCTGCAGCACGGCAGCGGCCTGGCGAGGTGGGCGCACAGTCAGCGTCGCTCCCGGGGATCACTTGACGTCAAGTTCATATAGCAAATCTGCACTCTAAAACTGCAATCAAACTGCTCATACGTCATTAAAAAAAAATGGTACGACAGGTGGCCGGGCAATTGTGTTTCATACGTTGCACGTTCTAGCATCATGTGACATCAGGCCACGTGACGTCGATTTCTCCGTTAAATTTAACGGGGAATCCGAATTGTTGCGTAGGTGACGTCACGTTAATGTTCCCACTATATGTGACGGGCCAAAGTGCAACACTCAGCGCGTTGCATTATTGCACGTCACAGGCCACGGCTTCGCGAACTCCGGCTCCACGAAATCCGAAGCAACAACAGCCAAAGAACGTTTCATGTTAAAAACAGCGTCCGCTGTAGAAATGAGGAGCAAATTACCAGCAAAGATGGCTAGCATGTTCGAATGCTTCAGATACGCTTAAAACATGGATGCCGTCAAAATTT